CTTCGAGGCAGACAAGGCCGCACCGGACATCGAGCTCAAGCAGCTTGGGAGCCAGCTGGCAGTCACAGTTCGAACAGCAGCAGAGCACGCAGCCCCACCAGAAGAGCATCCGTACTTCCCGAAGGTCACCCAATGAATTTCGCAGCTCAAGCGAGGACCCGTGGCAGGGGTCCCGACAGCCATCCAGGAACATATCCACACGCTCGAGAGCCAGTTGGCGACCGCCTGCAGCGCACCCCAGCAGGTTCAGCAGGCGGCCCCTAAGGCAGGTCAGTTCCAGATTCAGCCATCGCCACCCTCAGCAGCTGTCGCCCCAGACGCCGTCCTCCCAAAGCCGCAGTCAGCTCAGCCAGCAGCAGCATCGGGTTCCAACGGAGCCCCAATGGACGAAACTCAGGGCCACAAGACAGTCCAGACGGAGTCTGCAACAGAATTGGAGCGAGCAGGGAGGATCATCGCCGCCGCGGAAGAGGAGGCAGAGCAAGCTTCCAAGAATCTCTGGGAGCTCGCAATCGCCGCAGAATGGGGCCCCAAGGAAAGGGAAAGGGTAACACTCAAGACATGCAGATAGCTACTGCCTACTGTTAGGATTATGTCAAAAGTTCACTCGTCTCTCAGGGGATCGTATCATAGATGCAAAGCAGTGATGCCTGAAAGAAGGTTGGCACGCAGTCATGTCACCATGTTCCACCAGCGAAGCCGGCAGGCCGATGGCAGGGATTGCCATTCTCATTCTCGCGGGATTTGATGCGGGCATCCGCCCAGCAGTTCCCCCCCCCTCATTCCCCCAGCAGGATCTTAGCCGTGATTCTGGAACTCCCAGGGCGCTCGCCGCTCGTTACGCTCTCTTTCTCTCTCTCTCTCTCTCTCTCTCTCTTTCTCTTTCTCTCTCTTTCTCTCTACTTTGAAGATTCGGTCGGGTTGAACCAACGGAACCTCGACCTGCTGGCAGCCATCGGTTGGATGCAGAGCCACCACAGCATGCCAGTATTCGCCACAGCAGGCCTCCATATGCCACCAGCAGCCGTCCAACAGAGGAGGTCTTGTCTTTGGTGGCAAGCAGGTCCAAGCTGGATTGCTTCATCGTGAGTTCTGCTCGTGAGAAGTCGGCCAGCAGCACCCAGGTTCTTGCTGGATACCCTCTCGAGCCGTCGTCGCCCAGTTCGCCTCGAGCCGTCGTCGCTCTGGGGAGGTCCAGGAGGGGGAGGGGGAGGGGGAGGGGGAGGAGGAGGCGGAGGAGGAGGAGGAGGAGGAGGAGGAGGAGGAGGAGGTCTACCTCGACTAGCCAAACCTCGGCGGCCTCCCACCAGGCTGCCTTGTATGGACCCTCTGGGGCCACAGCAGTGGACCAGATCAGCCGCAGGAGCGCGGCATCTTCGGCGCAGTGTCCACCACGAGGAGGGGGAAGAGCAGGAGGAGGAGGAGGAGGAGGAGGAGGAGGAGGAGGAAAAGGAGGAGGAGGAGGAGGAGGAGGAGAAGGAGGAGGAGGAGGAGGAGGCTTCGGGCATCCGGCGCCACCCGGCCCTGGATGCAGATGTCGACGCGGGCAATTCTAGACCCGGAGGCCACGGCTGCCCGGCTGACAAGCACCCCGCCAGCTCCCGCCCGCGCATCCTCTGGGCCTCGGCCAAGGCCGAGGAGTCCCAAGCATCGAGCAGGCTGGCAGTCGCACGCTCGGCTTCTGCGGTTGCTGAATAAGCGAGCGCTTGATGTGTATTCAAAGCAGCGCGCATCGCTCTCTCTGCCAGCTTGCGGGAAATGGATGCAGCTCTTCAGGACGCGCCTCAGGAGTTCCAGGCACTTCAGGAGTCGCAGCCTCTTCTCCAGCAGATTTCGCCAGTTGCTCGTTGCGCTCAGCGCCGACGCGCAGAGAGAAGGCATGCAGCAGTGCCGCCAGCGAGCTCAGCACGCCTCTAACCATTTCAACAAGGAGGTGACAAGCTTTCGCGACCAGGAGCGCCCTCGGGAAAGATTCCAAGCCATAACCTCTTGGAAACAATGGGTCTCAGAGCAGATGGCCAAGGGGTTGGGCGGTCCTCGCCTTTTCGGCTTCCCGACGCTCCAAGATAGGCCAGGAGGCCCCAAGTTGCGTCCCAACACGGCCTCTGAGGCCCCCAAGAGAGCGCGGAGACGGCCCAAGAGGCCCCCCAGACGGCCCAAGAGGCCTGCAAGGCAGCCCATGAGGCCCCAAGAACGCTTCAAGAGAGACCCCAGAGGGGGAACACGAACCGACATGTTATGTTGAGCTCTCCGCCCCTGGAGGCCCCCAAGAGGCCCCAAGCGGCTCCCACGAGGCCCCCAAAACACCCCCAAGACGCCCCAAGAGGCCTCCAGAAAGCCCCAGGAGGCCCCCAAGAGCTCCCCCCAAACGCCCTGAGGCATTCCTGACGATCCTCGACGCCGTCCCATACCGATTGCTAATGACATACTCTGTCCCACGCGCCCGCCCGACTCTGTGCATCTTTCGCGCGTCGTCGTCGTCAGTGGTGAATATTCCTAGACGATTTGCGAAATCCTGCCAGCCCATCCAGAAACGAGGTACTGGCGAGTTGCCCTGACCAGGGATGTTGAGGAGTGCTGTGGAAGAAAGGGCTGGGTAAGACGTCGTACCTCACGAGGGGGAGGATGGAGAAGGAACCGAAGGATGAGGAGGAGGAAGAGGAGGGAGAAGGGGAGGGGGAGGAGGAAGGAGGAGGAACAGGCCGATGAGGAAGAGGAGGAGGAGGAGGAGGGCGAGCAGAAAGGCCAGAGGCCTCCTGGATACCTCTCGGAGTCTCTTCGGATTTCTGTCAAGAGCTTGTTGGGTTCCTCTTGGGGCGTGTTGGGGGTCTCTTGGCAGTCCCGGTGGCCTCTTACAGCGTCTTGGGTGCCTCTAGAGGCCTCCTGTAGCCTCTTGAGGATCTCTTGGGAGCCTCTTGGGGGCATCTTGGGGGCATCGTGGGGGCCTCTTGGGACCTCCTGGGCACGTCTTGGGGCCGTTTTGGGGCACCCTTGGGAGCCTCGGGGGCCTTCTTGGGGCCATCTTGGAGGAGATCGACCGAAGAAGGGGGACTCTTTACTCAGGGTCCCCCCCATGAGACCCAAATGTGGCCAAAACCTTGGTATTGGCCTTATCTCCAAGGCCTCTTGGGACGTTTTGGATGCCTCTGGGGGGCCTCTTGGGGCCTCTTGGGGGTCAATCGGGAGCCTGTCAGTGACATCTTAGGCGCCTCTTGGGGCCTCTTGGGCACATCTTCGGGCCCTCCTGCTCAGGGGGCATCTTGGAGGAGATCCATCAAGGAAGGGGCCGTTGTACATCAGGGTCCCCCCCAGGAGGCCCAAATGCGGCAGAAACCCTTTCTGTAAAATGAATGAGGTTGGCCTTCTCGCCGAGGCCGCGTTTGGCGTCGTGGGTGCCTCCGGGAGGGGGGGGGGGGGGGGGGGGGGCAAATTGGAGCCTGTTGGGGGTCTCTTGGGAGCCTCTTGGAGGCGTAGCGAACCGTCGGTAATCGGCCCGATCGCACTTTTGTTCTGGAGTCCTTCTGGAGGTTTTACGGGAACTAACTGCCTCCAGAAGCAGGCTTGAGAGCCTTCCCTGACTCAAGACAGCATTACAGTTCCCCCAAAGCATCGCAACCGCTGCGGCCCGATCGCAATTGGTCGTGATCCGTCCGAAGGGGTCGACGGTCGGCCCGGAGAGGTTGCGATCCCCTCCTGTCGCGGAAGGGAGGAGGGACTGGACAAGTGAGAGAGAGTGAAGGGTGGAACGCGACAGAGATTAGCAGGAGGGGGTTAGGAGCCTCACCTCATCTATTTCAATATCATTGCATCATCATGTTCATGTTGCTTTGTGATGCTCTTCTACTTCCATGCGTCGTGTTAACGGTGCGCGACAGAGATTAGCAGAAGGGGGTTAGGAGTTAGGAGCAGAAAAGCAAGCGGCACAGCCAGACGGGCGGGTCGGGCGGGGCGGGGCGGGGCGGGGGGGGCCCAGACGGCGGGGTCGAGCGGGCGGGTCGCTGAAGCGTCAGCCGTGTATGGATCGCGAGGAACTCTCGAGCGATAGCGCGATTCCCAGGTAACCGCGACATGCAATTCTCGGCCCTCCCCATGTCGGCGAAACTTTCTCACTTGCCTCCCCTGGCGCGAAGCGCGCGCGTGGTCCTAGTGTGTGTATAGACACGGATATATATATATATATATATATATATATATATATATATATATATATGCCATCTGTTTACAGAATAGCATGTGTAGCTCCCCTCGTGTAGTTTGTTCAGAAGATGCCAGTGATGCTCGGTTTATAAACGTGGACGCCCGGGAGGGGGCGGGGGAAATTCTGTACAAAACGACCGTTTTGTACAGAATTTCCCCCCTGGCGTTTTGAACGTGTCTGTTGCACTACGGTGAACTCCGCCGGTCGCAGCTCATGGAACGCATTGGCATCGCAGCGGGTCAGAATGATCAGGATTCGCCGGCAGAGTCTCTCAGCACATGTCTGTATTGCTCTGTCCGTGGCTATCCTGGCTCAAGTTTTTGAGGGCCTATGTACTGGTATTCCGATATCGCTTCTTGGTGCCGCGATATCGCCAGCATCGGCGCACACTGGTACACCGCCTCTGTGGTCAGCTCGTGCCCGGCTCCGCCCGCGTGCCCGACGCTGACCTGCGCGCCCCAGCCGGCGTGCCCGCAGGTCACCTGCGGCAATTGCTCGTGCGCGGAGGCCCTGCCGCTCCGCGAGATCCTGTGGGGCTCGGCCGGGGTCGCTCTGGCTGCCGGCTCTGCGGGCCTCGCCGCTGGGGCCGCGGTGGGCTTCGCGGCCGGGCGCCTGGTCCTGCTGCCAGGCGCTTGCCAGCGCCGGCGAGAGGCTGGGGCGGGAGGCGCCCAGCCGCGGCCAGGCCCAGCCGCCGAGGCCATCGTGGACGAGCCTCCGGCCCAGGCGCCGGCGTCGAATCGCGCAAGGTTGCTGGCGCGGGCAGGCACAGGACAGGGGCAGATCGTGACCGCCTAATTGGGCAATGGCGCTGGAGCCAGGTATCACCGTTTTCCTCAACTACGGGGACGCGCTCTATCATGAGCGGATCCTGCTGGCGTGGGTGGTAGATTCGCTGTTCATCGTCATCACGCCTGACTTTGACGTGTACATTGAACAAATTGACGCTTCTAATCCAGATCTCGAGGCTCTGAGGGTTAGCGACCATGCGGGCTCGATCCCATTTGGGCTCACGGGGGCGCAGCTATATCGCTTTCGAGCTCGGCCCGCTGGAGCTGACTTGGTGAACCTCATGGCCGAGGGTCGGCACCACGCGAGAGTGGAGCGGGCGGCGCGAGGCCTGGCCCCGCCACCAGGGCAGGACGACATCATCGGCCCGGGAGGCAATGCGCCGGCGGTCGTGCCCATCCCGTTGCCTGTGCCGCCGCCAGTGGCTCCTGGAGTGCCCGCGGTTCCCATGGCCCCGCGCGTGGCGGGCGCCGCGGGGGCATGGGTTTTCGACGAGCCGGGCGATTCCTTCGCCGTCGGCCAGGAGTTCGCCCTGCCGGCCAACGCTCTCGACGTGGGGGGCCGAACATTCGTGTCCGTCAACGGCAAGGCGGTCAGCGGGACGCGCGTCGCGGCTGGGACAGACCTTGATGGGTGGGCCCGGCAGCGCCAGGCGCAGCTGATGAGGGCGGACCCTCGTGTCCTGCCTCGCCCCGCTGGCGGTGAGCAGTCGGCTTTCGTCGACGATGTGAGGCTGATGAAGCGCGACCCCAGCGTCCCAATCGGGATCAAGGGCCCCGCCACGCTGCCCGACACCCTCGCGGACCTCAGGAAGGGCTCGACTGGGGGGTTCACGGCCGCGCACGACCGTTGGTTGGTGGACTCGAAGGTGCCAGCCTCCAGCAGGTCCGGACGCGAGCATCGTGTCCTGAGCCGTGCCTTGTCGATGGCACATGAAATCGACGGGCTGAACTTGCCGAACTTGACGTGCCTCGAGTACATTAATCGTCGCCGTCAGCTCATCGAGACGGCCCACCGCGACGATCCCGTAAGCGGGTCGTGGGACTCAGCCCATTTGTACATGGGCGAAGACGAGGAGGGCACCGGCGTCCACGTGGCGCCGTCGCTCCGCGCCCATGTCGCCACTGAGCTGTCCAAGGAGACGGCCATCGAGAAGGAGAGGAGAAAGGCCCGCGAGGCCAAAGCGGCGGCCAAGGCAAAGGCCAAGGCCGCCGGGGACAAATGACCAGTGGAGAGATCGGAGGCGGGCCGAGCCCCGCGGGCGCTCATCCTGGCGCGCCCGCCTCCATCGACCCTCTCAGCCAGGACGACGGCGTCGCGAACGTGGGTTGGGCCTGGCCTGATCGTCGTCGAGACGTCGCCCAATTCGAGCCGACGGTAAAGTCGGCTGGAGTGGAGCGGGACCTTTTTCCTCTGCCGCTCCTCGGCCCGGAGTGGCCTTGCAAGACAGGTGGCGGATCGTCCAGGACGGCTCGCCGCCACAGCAGTTTCCGCCGGCACGCATGGGAGGACGCCAACGGCATGGTCCGCGCCCTGAACTCCCTGCACGGGTGCGTCCGTCCGCCAGGCGGGGCTCCGACGCCTGCTCAGCATCAGGTACACAGAGATCTGCTGAGCACCGCTCGTGCTGCCAGGCAAGATTTTGAACACGTCGTTCCCCGGGAAGCCGCTCGTCGACTTCTGGGTCCCAAAATGGAGTATGGAGGTGACGGCACCACGGTCGAGCCATTCGACGGGGACCGCGTCTCCCTGCCCCCTCTCGGCAAGGGGGCGGCCTGCCTCTCGGGCGCGCTCGACCCGGAGGCGGCCGCAGTTTTGCAGAACTTTGAGACTGACCTGCTCGCCTCGCCTGACGTGGTGGAGCAGCGGCGTATGTCGGCGCCGGCGCAGCCGTACCTCGACCTCGAGTTCCGGGCGAGCCGGCCCAAGTACATCCAGTTCTTGTCGATGTTGAAGTCCCGCGGCATCATCTCTCTTGTCGGCCGCCGCCGAGGCAGCGTGACCCCGTTTTTCGTTTCCAAGAAAAATGGGAAGCAGCGTTTGGTGCTGGACTGCCGGCTCATCAACATCCTTTTCCACCACGCCCCCGTGATGGAGATCGGAGCGCTGGACTGCCTGAGCGGGCTCGAGGTGCCGCGGGGCCGCCAGGTGTTCACGGCGTCGGCGGACATCGAGGCCTGCTTCTACCAGTGTGGCGGGCTGGGGTCGCTCATCGAATTCTTCTGTCTGCCAGGAATCTCGGCGGCAGAAGCGACGCACCTGGGCTTCGACGTCACGGGCTTGTTCCACGACGCAAAGATGAAGCTTCACGTGGCGTTGAACGTGCTGCCGATGGGCTGGTCCTGGGCCTTCTGGTTCGTCCAGCGCGTCCACCTAGAAATGCTGCGGCGCGCTGGGATTGACTCCAGTCGCCTGGCGCTTGGCGGGTGGCCGCTGCCGCTGCTGGAGGGCGGCCCTGTCGAGCTCCCATACTCCGACAACGTGAACGTGATCGGGCTGGACCCGGTCGCCGTCGGGGAGCTCCGCGACAAGATCGTCTCCACCTTCGAGCGGCATGGCTTCGCGATGCACGAGATTTCGCCCGTCTCGGACGCCGCGGTGATCCTGGGCGCGAGCGTCGGCGGATCTCCGCCGAGCACGCGCCGGGTCTTGAACAAGTTGCTGTTAGTGCGAGGGGCGCTGCAGTGGCTGGCTTCGGGGCCCACCGTCACTGGGCGCCAGGTGGAGGTCATCGTCGGGCACTACGTTGCGCTCACGTCCTTCAACAGGCTCGGGCTCAGCGTGATGCGGTCGCTGTACGATTTCATCCGCGACAAGTACGTCATGCCGACGCGCTTGTGGGCCTCCTGCCGGTACGAGGCGTGGGTAATGGCCGACGTGAGCTTGCTTCTCTCTGCGAGGCTCGACCGGCCGTGGTCGCCCGTCGTGACGGCCTCCGATGCCGCGAACCGTGGCATGGCGGTGTGCGAAGCAATTTTCCCGGTCTCCGCCGTGGCCTCCGTCGGGCGATGGCGGGAGCGGTGGAGGTACAGGCGGCTGAATCCCGACGAGTGGGCGCCGAGGCGCCGTGCCCTTGCCCAGGAGTTCGCTGAGATCGAAGATCCCCTCACCGTCACTGCCTGCTCACCGTCGCCATCTGGTCCAGGGTGGGCTCTTCATCAAGGATTTCCAGAGGTTCCTCGGGAGCTCGCGACGACAGGGTACCGCACGATATATGCTGGCCCCCTACGTTATCAGGAACATATCGGTGTCAAGGAGGGGCGGGCGTTTCTGTGGGGGCTCAGACGGGCTGCTCGCGACGTTCGGAACTTCGGAACTATCAGGCTATTTCTCATCGACAACTTCGGGGTTTGCTGCGGGCTGGATCGGGGGAGGTCATCGTCACACGCCATATTACAGTTGTGCCGTCGGACCGCTGCCATCTGTCTCGCAAGCGGGATCAGCCCCAGGTTCCGCTGGATCCCGTCCGAGTTCAACCCCGCGGACGCGGGCAGTCGGCTCTTCGAGCACCAGGGCCCGCTCGGCCATGCTTGGTCCGCTGAGTCGAGCTGGCGCCGGGCCCTCGCAGAGCTGCGAGGAGAGGCCGACAGCCGAGGCCGAGGCTGCGCCGATTCCGGCCCCCACGCCTGCTGCGGGACCGCCGAAGCGGCGGCCAGCCGCCAGGCGGCGGCCTGCGGCGGCCGGCCCCCGCGCCCGGCAGCAGCCGGCCGCTGTCCCCCGGCCGAGGCGGGTCGCGGCGGCGCTGAGCCAGGCATCCAAGTCGCCGGCCTCGGCCGCGGCCCGCTCGCACTGCGAGGAGGCCGCAGCAGGCGCTGCCACGCGCGCCAACTACAGGCCGCTCTGCGACGCCTTCCTCGACTTCTGCCAGACGAAGGGCCGCGTCCCAGCCGACGTCAACGAGCTGCAGATCAGGCTGCTCGAGGCGCTCGACCACCTGCTGGGGGCCGATGGTACCAAGGGCGATGCGGACACGCTCGTGGCGGCGGTCAAGGATCACTTCCCCTTCGCGGTCGGCTCGGGGACTCTGCCTCGGGTGACCCGCGCCCTACGGGGGTTCGGGAAAAAGCGGCCGCCTCGGTCCCGGGCACCGGCACCAAAGGAGCTCATGGCGGCAGCGGTGTCGATGCTGCTGGCCCTGGGGCTGTACGACCAGGCGCTGCAAGTCGCGGTTCTGTTCTACACCTACATTCGCCCTGGGGCTCTCCGACAGCTGACGGTCGGGCAGCTGCTGCCCCCAGCGAGGCGGTCGGGGCCGCTGAGCCACTGGTCGATCATCCTGGCACCGACCGAGACGGTGGGCGCGCCCCGGGTCCTGACCAAGACCGGCACCTCGGACGAGACGGTGCTGCTGGACGAGCCCGCTTGGCTGGGGCCTGTGCTGCAGGCGCATGCGCGGGGCAAGCCTCCGACCGCCCCCCTCTTCACGACGGGCGGCCCAGGCATGGCAGCGGCCTTCGGCCGTGCTGTGGCCGCCCTGGGCGTCCCGGGCGCATGCCTGTACCAGCTCCGGCACGGCGGGGCCAGCGACGACCTGCTCGCCCAGAGGCGGCCGGCGGACGCCGTGAAGGCGCGCGGCCATTGGAAATCCGAGAGCAGCTTGCGCAGGCACGCGAAGCCCGGGGCCATTCACCAGCTGCTCAACGCGATGCCAGCGGAGAACAGGGCGTTCGGCGTCCAGCAGATGAACTTGCTCGAGCGCCTGCTGAAGCGCGAGGCGCCCAGATCGTGGGCGCCCCGCAGCGGCGTCGCTGCGGCGGCGTGAACTGGAAGGGCCGCGGCGGCCGGCTACACCGACCCCGCCGCTTTCGGAGGCCTGGGGAGGTGTTCGAGCTGATGGCGGGCTCAGCGCGCATTGCCGCTGCCGCCGCCGCTGCCGGTTTCCAGGCCCGGTCTTGGGAGCTGTCCGAGTCGGAGATGCAGGACTGCATGCGCCTCTCTCAGTCAGAAAATGCATTTACGAGAGCCTCCGTTTGAGGCTAGTTGCCCTGCTGTGGATTGGCTCCATAAGCGCCACTTGGTCGCGTGCCAGACGCAACGTCTCTGGGCAGCCCGGGTGGCCAGCGCCGCTGCGGTCGCGAAAGTGCATCTTCGGTTTACCCCACCTCGCTGGGAAGGATCTGGCAGCTGTTCACGGAGGCAACGCTCGTGCGACCTGGGCCGCTCGCCTCTTCCAGTTCGCAGCGCTTCGAGGCTGCCCCGTGGTGATTGAGAACCCGCAGAGCAGTTTCATCTGGTGTCATCCAGAGTTCCAGCGCTTGTGCGAGAAGTGGCGGTATATCGACATTGACTATTGCGCCTTCGGTTGCCCATATCGTAAACGCACGAGACTCTTGTATGCTAACCTTGATATTTCTCGACTGAGTTGGGCGCACTGTTCTGGCAGGCACGTCTGCAGTTTCTCTCATCAACCGCACGTAGAGCTTGCTGGCAGGGCAGGCAAGACGTTTCATACCGCCAACGCCGTTGCATATCCACATGAATTGGCAGCGGCCGTTGCTCGCTGCCTGTGGGCCCGCCCACCCTCCCGAGTACAGATACTCTGATCTGGGGATTGGCCAGAGAGTGATTGCCAGCTGGCGCGCGAGGCTCACAACTGCTCGCCCCGCGCTCGATCGAGTAGTCTGCGTGAAAACAGATCGAGGGGGGTGTTAGCATGTGCCATCTGTTTACAGAATAGCATGTGTAGCTCCCCTCGTGTAGTTTGTTCAGAAGATGCCAGTGATGCTCGGTTTATAAACGTGGACGCCCGGGAGGGGGCGGGGGAAATTCTGTACAAAACGACCGTTTTGTATAGAATTTCCCCCCTGGCGTTTTGAACGTGTCTGTTGCACTACGGTGAACTCCGCCGGTCGCAGCTCATGGAACGCATTGGCATCGCAGCGGGTCAGAATGATCAGGATTCGCCGGCAGAGTCTCTCAGCACATGTCTGTATTGCTCTGTCCGTGGCTATCCTGGCTCAAGTTTTTGAGGGCCCCCCCCTTGCCCTCCCTCTTCTTTTCCTCTTCTTCCTGCCGTTGGCAGCCAGAGAGTGATTGCCAGCTGGCGCGCGAGGCTCACAACTGCTCGCCCCGCGCTCGATCGAGTAGTCTGCGTGAAAACAGATCGAGGGGGGTGTTAGCATGTGTATATATATATATATACATACATACATACATACATGCATGCATGCATGCATACATACATACATACATACATACATGCGTATATCTCAAGTGGCACGTGCGTGCCCAGGCTCACACAAGCACATGTGCAGGATGTGTGTGTGTGTGTCGCGTGTAAGGTGCAGGATTTGCGGAGCACTGTTCGCCACGAGTGGTTCCTGGCCCGAGGGGGTCTGGGCCTGCCGGGCCGGGCCCGGAGAGCAGCGCCGCGCGCACCCCGCAAAGAGACGGCCCCGAGCACGTTCCTGTTCGCCCTGGTGCCCGTGCTGGTCGTGCTGCTGGCCGTGCTGGTGATGCTCCTGAAGTGAGCCCTCTCAGTTACTCGCGAAGCCACCCCCACCCAACCCGAAGGCCCTGGACCACCCCGAGATTCGGGTTGGGGGGTGTACGAGTTCCACCCTGTGTTTCCTCGATGCTCTGGAGAGTTCCCTCACCAGAAATCGACGAGCCCAAGGGTGATTTCGGGTTGGGTTGGGGTGGCTTGGTAGGTGCGGTCGGACCGAGGCATAAGATCGAGGTCGGTTCGGGGAGGGTACCCTCATGTTCTTCGTGCCCGTTGGATGTTCTCGTGCATCCTGGGGAGGGTACCCCTGGATGTTCTGTGTGTATTGGCAGGCGGAGGGTATCACGTTCTTGAAGGATTAGGGGAACGAAGAGTGACATAAAAATAAAAACTCTGAGGTCCGCGCGGATTTCTCGCATCGGCGCTGGACCCCCCTCCCTGGCGCGCGGAGCGCGCCAGGGGCGGCGCCGAAAGCGCCGCCAGGGGGGTCCAGCGCGGACCCGCGAGATCCGCGCGGACCTCCGAGTTGTCATGTTTGTGTCATTCTCCGTTCCCCCAAGGATGTTCGCTCTCGTGCATCTTACGTCATTCTTCGTTCCCCCGAGGACGTCCGCTCTCGTGCATCCCGGGGAGGGTGCCCCTGGATGTTCTCTCTGTGTGTGTGTTGGCAGGCGGAGGGCCTCACGTTCTCGCAGCAGGCTCCTCTGCCCCGGGTCCGACTGCAGCCCGCCCTCCTCCCCGTGCCCGATGCCGCCCCTCCGGGCGCCGCGATCCTGCTCCTGGCCCCGGGCCCCCCCCCCGCGGGGGGACCTCGGCGCCGCGGCCCCCCGGGGGCCGCGGGTGGACAGCCCCGGCGCCCAGGGCGGGCCTTCGGAGGGCCACCTCGGGAGCGAGAAGAGGAACGGAGGGAAGGGAAAAAAAAGGGAGGAGAGGGGAGAGAGAGAGAGAGAGAAGAAGAGAGAGAGAGGGGGCACCTCTTTGGAGAAAGAGAGAGAGAAGAGGAGAGAAAAGAGAGGGCCAGCTTTGGGCCACCTCCAGTCGAAGGAGAGAAAAACAACGCCACAAGCAGAAACTTTTGGCGCTCCTCGCGGATTTCTTGAATCCGCGCTGGGGCCCCCCGGCGGCGCCTCCGGCGCCGCCCCTGGCGCGCTGCGGAGGGGGGCCCAGCGCGGATCCAAGAAATCCGCGCGGAGTGCCAAAAGTTTCTGTTCATGGCGCGTTTTCTCTTCCTCTAAGACAGAGAGACGGAGAGGAAGAAAGGTGAAATCAACACCCACACACACACACACACAGAAAAAAACACAGCGGCCCACGAGAGGTAAGTCGGGCCTGTCCCTCTACAGTAGGAATCTTCAAAATAGTCAAAAAATAGTCTGGGGACGATCTTTAATTATTTTTCTACTATTTCTAAATATTTTTAGAGTATTTTTTTATGTTGCGTCCAAAATCCGCCTGTAGAGGGACATGCCCGACCTAACACGAGAGAGAGCACGTCACGGATTGTCGCGACGCCGGAGCCGCGGCATCGCACCAGCTTGCGACCCCCTCGCCCTACAGCATTGGGCAGCCAGTCGGCGAGCGGCTCGGGCGGTTTTTGTCACCGTCGCACGGTGGTGCAGGCCGGTCGTCTGCCTGCCCTCATCCTCCTCTTCCTCCTCCTCCTCCTCCTCCTCCTCCTCCTCGTTCTGCGTCTTCCTCCTCTTCCTCTCCTTTCCTCACTCCTCCGCCCTCATCCCTCCACACACACATCCTCCCTCTTCCCTCCAGTCCGCTCCCTTCTAACCCCTCTCGTCGTTTCTCTTCCCTTAAACTTGCAGCGGCAGATCCGCCAACATGCGCAAGCCATATCATCGTATGGTATTGTTCCGAAAAAGATCAGAAACGCACGCGTCATACATCTCAACAGCTCAGAACATATTGTTGATACAAATGTGGCAGCGCTGACATCTTCCAGATATCTTCGGCTTTTCCCATCGGCCTCGCACCAGCGCGCACGGCGTCCTCTCAAGAACGCTCGCAGATGTTCCTCACGCACCCAACGTCGGCTGCATCAATACGGTGGGGAACTTTTGCTCAGCGTGTCCGTCCGCCGGGGTCAGCCAGAGCGCCCAGTCTTGCAGGATTCTGCAGGGCCAGGGTCGCATTGACCTGGGCTTTGGCGCAGGGTCCTGCAGGATCTTGCAGGATCCTTCGCATTGACCCGGGCTTGGGTACATGGTCTTGCAGGATTCTGCAAGGCCTGACTGGCCCGGATCTGGATTGACCCGGGTCAGATGATCCCCGAGCAGAGGGGGGATTAGGGGGGGGGGCAGGGGGAGCGGGGAAGGCTTCTCAGAAGCACCCCCAGATTCCCAGAAGGCGCGGGCCCCCTCTGCAGATGTGGGGCCAGCGCCTTCCAAAAAGCAGCATCCTTCTGAAAAGCCTTCCCCCCGATCGGCGCGATGCGCGAAACACGTCCCAGCAGACCCCGAGCCTCAGCGTCCCAGCGCGTCCCCCAGCCGCCCACTCCGAAGGCAGCGGAGCGACGCGCTTTTTCTCCGCCTGCGGGGCATGGGGCGTCTCGCCTGGACCGGGGCCGCCGCGGCACGCTGAGCGAGAGTTCCCCGCCGTCGGTGGGCGCGCGGCGCTTCGTGCCGCTCCAGGGCTAGGGCTAAGTCGGTCGGGCACGTCACACTCCCCTCGTGCGACCCGAGGGGCATCAAAAGCGTACGGAGAGGATACGGTGGTGGCGCTGGTTCAGGAATGTGCCCAGGAAGGAGTAAGACCCTGGAGGATGCCGTATCTGATGAGGGCGGCGGCGACATCCATGGCCACCCCACGACTTGTGTGCCACCGACTTTCAGCCCCTGGAATCCTCATCCAACGGCTCCTTCGTCAAAATTCTCACCGTGGACACGGCGGCAAGCACTGAAGAAGGAGGCAAGCAGAAGAAGCAGAAGCGGCAAGCACTGAAGAAGGAGGACGGGCGCCCTCTGCCTGCAGGGCCGTGAGCGCCCCAGCGGACACGGCGGAGAGGGGGGGGGGCGGCCGCGGCGGCAGGGTACGAGGGCCGACCGGGCGCAGCAGCCTGAGCCAGGCCCGAGGAGAGGAGGAGGAGGAGGAGGAGGAGGAGGAGGAGGAGGAGCAGCAGCAGCAGCAGCAGCAGCAGCAGCAGCAGCAGCAGCAGGAGGGCGGAGGAGAAGGAGGAGGAGCACACCTTTTGACCCCGCGGACATGCCGCCGAGGCCGCCGGCACAACCTGCGTTGCTTCGGGGCTGCCAAGAGGTGTCCCTGGCCCACGGTGCCCTTGCCTTTTCACTTCATGTTGGCACGCGGGTCTTCGCAAGGGGCTGCTCTGATGTCCGCGGGGGGGCCTCCCTGGCAATCCTGGGGGCACCTTGGACCAGGGACA